GGATATTTGCAATGGTCACTGGACCTCTACATTGACTAGACTTACTACTCAGTTTTACACACTCTCATACCAAGTTCTTATATTCAATTGCTTACAGAGATCTTGAGACAATTTAGTTGCAGTTTCGTTTATGGAGACTGAACTTGTTAAAAATTTATGAGCTTTCATAACGTACATTATGAAGTAACACACAACACACGGTATGAAATAATCTAAACTGACTCTACATCTGCCAAAGCTTTAAAAAGAGTCCACTGGTGCCTGCCAATCAATGAAGGCAACGGGGCAGTAGGAAAATTATTTTAGATAAAATCTAACATTAAATAGCATCAAATTCAACCATAAGCTCTAGTAAACATGCCGAAAGGGTCTTTGAAAAAGAGCAGTAACACAGCTCAGTGGTGTGCTGTCTCTATACTTATTTCCATATAGAAAATTAGCATACTCTGCTACTGCTGTAATGTCAAACAAATGTTTAGGATGATGACTCACTTCAATTTACAATGTGCATACTAGCAAAAAAGTAAGCACCAACTGGACCCCTACTGAAAACTGGAGCTTAACTTAGAGGTCATCTCTCTAATCTTATTTTACAAACAGTCAAGTTTTAAAATGGATAATGACTCAAATAGCTGTCACCTTTATACTTCTGGTTTCAGTCAGTTAATTCAGCCCCTAATTCATCATGGGAATGTGAAATTGAATGTTCTTACAAAAAAGTCCAGTGGCAGTTCAGGAGAGAGACTAATTACATGTAATGAGTTACACAAAGCAAGCCTAGGTTCACGTGCTCAGCAGAGACGTCCTTTCTGCGCACGGCAGCCAGCACTTCAACCCCTGAACACGTTAAACTTTCTTTAGCTTGTCATCGACAAGATACCGTTAAACTTTCTTTTAAGACGTATGCCTTTATCATGAAGAAGCTAAATATTAACTAGGCCATCTAAAGGAAACTACAACCAAGATATAAGAAACTCTCAGCTACACAAAGAAGTACTTTTTCACTTTTATCTACTTTCCTCAGATCTTAAATGAACGTACACACACACACACACCTGCTGTTCAGCGATCAAAGATGTCCGAACATTCTGCATTTCTTCATTCTTTCTTTTTTCTTGTTCTTCAAGCTGTTCTAGAAACTTTGCTTTTTCTTCCTGAAGCTTTTCTTGAAGTTCAGCAACTAAGCTTGAAGAATCTTCTCTGGTAGATTCAAGGGCAGGACTTAAAAATTGAAAAAAGTTTTTTTTTTAAAACCACTCCAGATAGAATTCAAAAATATATCAAATATCATACTTAAGTTGTTTATTACCCAGGTAACCTAAGAAATGTACTTCTAGGTGAAACCTCTATCTTTGTGACTAAAGAGCAAAGACAAATTATACCATGTCTTACAGTGTCATGGCTGATTTATACCAATGGGTTCAACAGAGTCAGCAGCTTGTGCCGACATGTATAAAAATCAATGTACTTTTTAAATGGCAGTTTCAAGCTTCAGGTTTTCTATCCCTACAAACTGCAATTTATGATGAAACATAAAACTGATGATTTTGTAGATTAAAATGTGTTACTTTCCATAAAATGGATTTTAGCAAATTTTGCAACCTAATGAATCAATAATATGAAGTTAAAACTGAACTCTTCATACAAAGACAATCTATGTATTCCTGAACTCATTTCATTCAAAACCTGCTATTCTCTTAGAAGTTTCTGACAAAGCAATCAGAGAAGGGCCAAGTAAAAAGTGGGCAAACATACACAATGAATTTTCTTAACTTCTGGTACATACTAATTTAAAATCAACCTTCAAATCAGATTCCTAAAATAATCCCTTCAGTGGAGTGGTTCATGTATATAATCCTAGCATTCAGGAGGCTGAAGCAGGAGATTTTACTTTAAGTTTTCTACTCAAGCCAGTTTTGGCTAAACACACAGAGTACCAGGTGAACCAGGGCTACACACCAAGACCCTATACCTCAAGCCATCTCCACTGGTGTCAAGATGTGCTATTCCAAGACAGTTTGTTGTGCTATTAAAAATTCCCAAACTGGGGCTAGAGAGATGGCTCAGCTGTTAAGAACAGTGGTTGTTCTTGAAGAAGACCTGGGTTCGAATCCCAGCACCCACATGGCAGCTAAAACTGTCTGTAACTCCAGTTCCAGGGGATCCAATGGTCTCTTTTATCTTCTGCAGGCATTACATGACATGGGTGCACTTACCGACATGCAGGCAATACAGGCATACACATAAAATAAAAATAATAAATAAAATATTTTAAAAAAATTTACCAAACTAAGCCAGGTGGGGTGGCACATGCCTTTAATCCCAGCACTCCAGAAGCAGAGACAGGTGCACCTCTAGTCTACATATTGAGATGCAGGCCAGCTGGGGCTACAAAGAGATCCTCTCTCAAACAAATTTCCAAACTACTTTCATGATCATGTGCAATTTACAGTAACACAAATTTGAATGCTTTCCCTCCTGATAGCTTGAAACAGGCAAACTGGTACTGGAGAAATGGCTCAATGGTTAAGAGTGTTAGCTGCTTTTGGAGAGGACCTGGGTTCAATTCCCAGAACCCACATGGTGCCTAGCAACCGTGCCTAACTTCAGTTCCAGGGGAATCCAATGCACTCTTCTGACCACCACAGGCATTGCACATGCAGGCACTACATTCATATACATAAAAATAATAAAATATTTAAATAAAGGGTCAAACCTAGAATAAGCAGTTTAAGACAAAGTCTAATTTATGGATTAATGCAGAAAGGTTGGAATAAGAATTTTCTATTCCAGGGGCGGTTGTGGTGGTATACCCTTTAATTCCAGCACATGGAAGACAGAGGCAGGTAGATCACTGTGAGTACGAGTTCAAGGCCAGCCTAGTCTACATAGGGGTTTCCAGGTCAGCTGGGGCTACAGAGAGACCCTGTCTCAAAAAGGTTAAAAAAAAAAAAAAAAAAAGAATTTTCTATTCCATATCATACAAGTAGTTTAAAAGTAAAGGATTTGTTTTCAGTTTCTCTTTTAGAGTTGTAAGAGATGCAACTGTGCAACATAAAACTCCTTAGCGGAACTGGTAGCAGATAGCAGGCTTGCATACATGAAATGCTAACGAGCTAACAGAATATATAAAAAGGACTCAGACTGTTAACCCTGGAAGTACTCAGGATAAAACCAGGCATAGGCAGGACTGAGAAATAATCCTGTTCAGCTAAAGTCTTCCTTCAATGTTAAATGGTAACAGTGATAGTGATGCCTAAAAAACCAAGGGCAGATACAGCAGAGTACTGTATGGAATGGGCTGGGAAAATGGGGATAAGACTGGTCACAAGCACTCTGGTTTCAAATTTCACTGTAAGCATAATACATCTTAAAGGATGGTGAAGGGACAGACATATTACTAAGTATGAAATAGCGTATGCAAATTGGGGGACTGGAGGCACACAGGCAGAACATGGACAAGCACCTATCATTCCAGTGTTTTCATCTTTGGATTGTCTGTGGCATTCTATTTCAGAATCAGTGCTGGGCTGAAATGACAAGAGTAGAAGGGATGATTCCAGGCAAGCAAGTCTGTACTGATATCGCACTCTCTCTGAAGAGGACCTATCATCCCTCAAACCAGAAAGCCCACACTGGATAATTAGTACAGGGTATACTGCCTGAAGACACACAGGTTTATAGAAAAAGGAGAGCTTAAGACATTTAGTTTTCTTCTGTGCTGCTGGGACAAGTACCATGACCAAAAACAACTCCGAGGAAAGGTTCATCTTAGCTTAGAGGCTAGAGTCCATCATCAAGTGAAGCGAAGGCAGGGAAGTAGCAAGGGCAGGAACTGAGCAGAGACCGTGCAGAAACATTGCTTACTGGCTTGCTTCCTCTGGTCTGCTCAGCCACCCCTCCTATACAGCCCAGGCCTACCTGCACAGGGTGGCACCACCCATAGAAGGCCGGTCCTTCCTGCATAATGAGCAATTTAAAAAATGCCCCCATAGACATGCCCATAGGCTAATCTCATGAAGGTGATTCCTCCACCGAGGTTCCCCTTCCCAGGTGACTCTAGTTTGTGTAAAGCTGACAAAAACTAACCAGCACATATCTATTAGGAACAATCAATAACTATCCTGAGCTGGGAGCGGGAATCCCACCCCCACCAACATACAGGCTGACCTCAAACTGACATTGTAGCTGAGGATGACCCTGAACTTCTATTCCCGCCTCTACTTCCCAAGGGCTAGGGATTGAGCCCAGGGCTTTGATTCATGCTAAGGAAGCACTCTACCAAGCTTCATCCCCAGTCTCAAGAATTTTTTTTACTGGTTTTATCAATCTGGCTGAAAGTACACTCTGTGCCCAAACAATACCCTATGTTAAGCTTTCACTAGAAGATGTTTTAAATGGCTACCAGGCACGTAATTTTAATAGTACGAATTAATGTAGTACTGAAACAGTAACAGCTAAAATAGCCACTATTTTGTTTAGCTTTTTTTTTTTTTTTTTCTATACAACACCCCCCCTTTGGGGAAGCAAAGAGCTGTGTTTTGGGTGAAAGGGGGGTATGAAATAGCCACTATTTTGTTTAGCTTTTTTTTTTTTTTTCTATACAACAGCCTCCCTTTGGGGAAGCAAAGAGCTGTGTTCTGGGTGAAAGGAGGGTATGAAGAAAATGATATTCTACTAAAATTTAGTTCAAACAAAATCAGCAGGGATCTAAGGACTTTTTCAATCAAAGATGGCCTGATTTCATTTCCCGAAATTCTTTATATTCATGAATACCGTGAAGACATACTGAAAAGCCAAGTAAACAGATAATTTGTTACTGGTTAGGATCTTTAACATTAAGAGGTTCTGTTTTCTAAGCTCAACCAAATAGACTACCCATAAAACATGAAAATTTGCAGCTGAGTCTGTGATCTACTTAGACTGAAGGGCAATAAGGACCTAAATGAATTAGCAAAATGAATCACTAGCAGGTCAGGGTACTCCAAGACACCTGTGGTTGTTTGAGATCAAGGGACCAATGAAGCAGGCAAGGTTTAGGAGTATGTTCCACCTGCCCATCCAAATCCTACAATAGCCTCCCTTCCAAGCAGCAAAGGCAAGGCTTCTTTGTCATCATAGGGATTGGTGTCACTTTATGTGAAGTAGTTCCATTCCACTGCTGGGCACAGTGGTGCACACCTTTAGTCCCAGCATTCAGGAGGCAGAGGCACAGGGATCTATATCTGTGAGTTTGAGGCTAGCCTGGTCTCATCGAGTACACAGCCAAGTTCCAGGCCAGCTGGGCTATAAGCAGACCCTGTCTCAAAAAGACAGAAAAAAAAATGCATATCATTTACAAGAACCCTTCATAGGTATCCTAAGTTAAAAATCTAAGGAAAAATTGCAATCATGAGCTTTACTTATTCATTGTGACAGAAATCTGGAGATATGGTGGAGAATGTGCCTACCCAATTTGGGGGGGGGGTAGGAATAGGAAATACAAACATAATGATAAATCAAGCCAAAATTATATACAGTAGCAATTAGATTCCATATTCCCTGTTAGCTATTAACACTCCCAAGCCTTAAACTTGGACCAAACAACCAACACTAAATGAAAATGAGATGGTGAGATGGGGATACTCAGTAAGAGCAAAGCAAAGCCAGCCACTTACCTACTTCAGTAACCGAAGTCTTACTACAAAGCCACACAGACTTATTCAGATGGTCTCATTGCCCTCTTGCTATAATTTAGTCGTTTCAAGATCATCTGGTTCACAAAATCTAGAACACATCCTAGCTCTTTGTAGGATGCAAAACCAATCTACACCTTACAAAGTTTCAGAATGTGACCTGAAGTAGTTCTGAAATAGTCTGGTAGAGACTAGTATGCTTTCAGAGGGTGAGGTTAAAAACTATTTCCTTATTATCAGGATGTCATCAGTGTTTTTCTTCTTATCAACATTTGCACTGATAAAAGTCCAGGCATCATAACAAAATGAAAGACAGTAACTCCAAATTGTACTTCTAATCACTGGACCCTTCACTATAAAGGAGAAATGGAGAAGTTATTTTTTTCCTCCATGATACAGTAAAAGTTGATACAGTAAAAGTTTCCATCCTTAAGTATTTATCATTTAAAACTTTACAATCAAATAGAAAATATTTATAAAGTTCTTTGGCGAGCAACTGAAAAACAGTATGTGTCTCACAGAAAAGCACTCGAACAAATATTTTGG